AAAAAACTTTTCGTGAAAGCGTTTCGGAGTGATTGGTTACATACGCTTGCAGTCGCTAGTCGCTGCGTCGTGAGAGTACGGTGTGGCGACGACCAACAACTGCCGCCGAGACATTATATGAAAAAAGTTTCATAATTGTATTATTTTTCCGGCAGCCCTATATATAGAGGAAAGTCGTAAAACGGCCGTTCGCTTCTCGAAAACTTTATCGTTTTCAATCGAACCACAGTGTCGAGGGCTGCAGTTGCAAACACCCCTGCACGCCGGGCGCGTGTCATTATTACCTGTACAATATCGGCACTGCACTCAACGAGCGGATAAAAAAAAACTCGTCTTCTGCAAAATAAAACAATATATAATAAATCATAACGCACATAGCTAACGATGGTAATATTAAGTTTGATACTTCTGCGGTGGCGTGGCGAAGGTGGTTTTTTGAGCTCTGTGCGGGTGGGTCATAGATGCTTATGCAAACTGTAGATCAGCGAGTTTGAAGTAGGTACTTGCGATAACTACGAGCTGGATTTTAACGCGCGAAAAATGCCCTGAAAAATAATCAAAAATCCCTTTTCACCGCAAAATGCCCTTAAAAATGACCAACATTTTTTTTTTTTGTAGCCACTCGACTGTACGCAACCGAGAAAAATAACGAAACGAAACGACTTTTAACACTTTATCATAACCGAACTAACAATAATACAAAAACTAAATACCAAACTTGGGCAACCGCAATAAATAAACAGTTTACTGGAAATAACTGCGATAGCGATGTATCCCCAACAGACCAATTATCTAGTTGTTATACTGGTCTGAGTAAGACACCACATTCGATAATTGCTTGAGATATAGATAAAGACGTAATCGCTTTCATACATACAACGATTGACTTTTGGGACGGGCGAAAGGTACATAAGAACTAAAAAATTGATATTCTTGAATATTTTGAGTGTCCTAATTTACACTAAAAGGCAAAAGCTCGGACAAAATACAATGCATTAAGCATTAGTAAAATTACCTGAAAACACTATAAGAAAAAATGCAAAATATATAATGATTTTACTTTTTAAGTATCTGCATATTTATACTATTGCACAGTGTATGTAAGTATATTTGAGAAAAGAGTTAACCGGAATGCATTGTCCTGTAACTCCCAAAAATATAACGCAGTTTCCACTGAAATCCCGGTTTGCCTAATAAAAATGTAATACATTTGACTTACCGTATGCAATCTGTGCACAAGTGTAGCCACTAGCCGTGCGTAGGTCATAGTTCGCCACCAAGCACTTCGGGCCCATCATATACCCGAAATATAGTGAGTTATGCTTCTAAGTTCTAGCCTATTTAGTAGTAAATAAATGCCTCTTTATTGAATAGGTGTCTAAAATCGACTACCCAATGGCTGTCACCAACCTAACCGCGAGTTTGCAAATTTACGCCGCGGCTCTTACATTATAATCAGGATAATCGGGACTCGGAAAGTGTAGGAGCTGCATATTGTCCTATGTTCCGGATTTCAAGCAGACCAAACTAGAAATCCGTATTATACATTGGCGAGTTCATAAGTCGAACATTTTAAATGCAATTTATTCTGTTTTAATTTGGGCGGATAACCTAAGTCTTTAGTTTATTTTTTATTTGTTTCGATTCTCTATTATATTAATTGTTTGTATATTATTTATTGATTTGCCTATACGTGCCTATATTATGCATATTTAATGTTTTCTAAAAAATGTGATTCTCTTCTCTTCGAACCCGTGTATTTTAAACAAAATATTAAATATATAAGATTCAATTGTATATAATTACTTAACGTGGTTACCGCCTTCGTCGCAGTCGACTATTACTTTAACGACTATAGGGCGCGTTTAATCTCTTTATCGTGTTAATATCTCTTATCGACGATAAGTTATCGCAAAATCCATATGATATTGTTAATTCTTTAGTAGGGTTGTCGTACACGACTGATGATAGTCTTGTTCGCTATGCGCATTTGTTCAATATTTTATACACGTGTCGGACTTGTATTTTCACTCAAGTGAAGATATTTTAATTCAGTGAAACGCAACAGAAAACGTTAAATTATTATTGTTTTTTTTTTCTCTTCTCGATCGGTCGTCATACATTATTTTCTAGTGACGCGTCGCTCGTCGGGAGACTTGAGGTCTTTTTAGTTTTTCCACGACGAGACCCGCGAACGGTGGCGGTAGACCCCGCAGCCGGATCGACGGCAATGCTCAAATGGTCCGAAAATAAAACTCGCCAGCGCGTGGGGCGGGGGGAAACGTCGAAAATAAAAATTGGCCATAGCCGCCCGGAAGCGGTACCTATACGTCCGTGCGGTGCCCGCGGGAGGCGGTGGTCGGAGGGCAAACCGGTGTCGGCAGCGTGCGCTGGAAAAATGAGTGGAACTGTGTGTAGTCGACTTTCGGCCGGTGTCGTATTTCAACTTTACGCGTTTGGCGCTAGCCCAGCCGAGTGCGGCGGCCGGTTCGGAATTCCTCCGTCGCCGCGCGCGGGCGACGGTGACCGACCGTACGCGACGCACGTACCACCACTCCAGCGGCGTCGACCGCTGTTACCGCGCAGCGACATAACCTTGAACCTGGTCGCCGGGCGCGTTTCACGAAATCCGGTCGGACCGCGCCGCCGCGCCGCCGCCGTGGGTACCTACGCTAGCTAAAGCATCGTGCGACCGACATATGGCAGTGCTTTTTTTCCCATTCTTCCTACGACCAGGTAGGTAGGTATAAGGTACCGGTCGTATATACCGCGGTCAGACGCCGCAGGTATAGGACGTGGTATTTCCGTCTAGTAGCCGTCCGACGACGGTCTGCTGCGTATATTCTTGGTTGTTGAGATTTTTGGTTTTTTGCCCAACGAGGGTGTGTCGTCGGTGACATACCTACAAAACGCTAAACGTCATCTGTCCTGTAGACACATTAATACACGAAACTATATGACTATGATGAGTTGCCAAGAGCTAACATTGTTCGAAAGAGATGCTCAATAGCCATAATAATGGGTTGGTGCATCATAAATGGCATGCAAAAGTTTTTTCGACTTTTTCAAGCTTATTAATGTGTACATAAAAAACTATAATGTTTAATATTTCAGAATCTGGGCGTATAGAGATGAATTAATTGATCTTACAATGTTCTTTTTTGTCTATGTACTATCGACATATTTTAGTTTATTTTTTTAATAGAAACAATATGCTCCGATCACGAACTTTTAAAGAGACTTCTGGTAGCAAATTGAATCTTATCCCTATACGTACGAAGGTTCGTTAAAATATTAAAATAACTGTTTGGGAACTCACCACAAGCATGGTAACCAAAAAGTTCTCTGGTTATAATTCGTTGTTCGTAGTATAGGTATATACCAACGATGATTATTTGATGGTCGAATTAACATTTAAAATACACATATATTACAGCTGCGACCTACTCAGTGACGAGATACACTCGCGACATACCTTTACTGTACAGGAGAGAGAGGTTACCAATTTTGTTACACATTTTACTTGTTATTTAAAACCATAATTATATTTGTAACAAATAAGGACGAAGGAAATTTTTTTCGCATGATGGCGGTCACCCCGGACCTTTCTAACTCTGTTATCGGTCCATTTCCTATAGGCTCCTTCGGTAGTTATACATTATTGTTGTACTAGAAAGTGCCATACTTTTATATAATACACTTACTTCGTCGAGGTAGGGTTGCAGGGTCGACTGGCAGTTAAGTCTTATGTTACCAACGTTTGTCTTAGACACGACAACGCATTGACTGTATTTACACGGAAAGTGTACTTTACTTGACATTCATATGTGTGTGAAGAAATGAGAGGAACGTAGGAAACGTGAACAAGACAATGATGATGACATTAAAATTATAAATAAAAACAAAAGTAATTTTTTTTTTTGCTACACGCCAATTTTTTTTCCATTCCAGATTACAATTTTTTTCCAATATAACAAGACAAATTGCCAAAATATTTTTCACGATTTTTTTTTCATTTTTGCTTTTTTTATCTAATATAAGTATGAATAAAATACAAAACATAGACTCTAAAATATCAATTAATATCGTTTCTTTAAAATATTACATCATATTAAAAAATTGATTATGCACTAATGTTTTTTTTTTGTAATTGTTGTGTAAAAACGATAAAGAGGTACATATGGGTTTTCTTAATTATAATACGACCGTTATAAATTAATTAATCATAAAAAGAAGTCAATACTCAGTTAAGAGTAAAAAAAAAAACAAACTTAAATTATAACAGATAAAAGCAAGTCTAACAACTTTCTAGGCTAATGCCACAGACTGTACATAAAAAATATATTATATATGTTTATAACTTACGTTTCGATAAATATAAATAGGGTAAATTTATGGCTTAGCATTAAGATGAAAATGTAATTTTTTTTTTAAATTATAGGTAGGTAATTTTATCATTAATTTTCCAATAAAATGTTTGCAGCACTTGGTTAACAATCACGTTCAGCCTTAATTATTAAAAATAATAATATCTAATACAAAATTAGTCTCACTAAATTTTACTTTTTTCTCCGGAGTTATAATATACATATATATTATGTATTTATACTTTATATAATATATCATCATATTGTATATCCTCTATATTATAATTAATATATGTGCGACCAATAAAGAGTTAGCGTTTAAAAAATATATCTCTCTTTCGCGCGTGTAATATATGAAAAGAGGGAGGGGTGTATATAATATCATGAATGAGGATGGCACTCGAGACTAGAGTTAAAAAAAAAAATCCAAAAACGAAAATTTTTTCAAAAATTTAGGGACGTTTATTTTACGGCAGAAACGTGTTGTTTTGGAGAAAAAACAAACATATTCTTTTTCGTGGCCTAATAACTAAAACAAAGTCTTAACGATTTATAAAAAACAGCACTTATCACAATATTGTATCGTAGGAGAAAATGTATTTAAAAAATGTCTATGACTTATTTAATTTTTTCTTTAACAAAAACCTAATATTAATGAACACTCCTGTTACTTCCACTGGTATAATTAATTATTTATAAATAATCGCATGAACAATTATTTCAATACGTAATGTATGTATACATAAAACATACATTGTTTATATTTATATCTAAAAATATGAAAGCTTTTACCATTTTGTATTTGATTACGGGGATTCCTTGTTTAATTTAAATCTGTATGTACAAATAAGCGCTTTTATAAATTACTTTCTTTTATAATAATATAATAATAATTGTAATAATAATAATCATAGTAATAATAATAATAATAATAATAATAATAATAATATTGTTTTACGTACATTTTATTTAATTTTTTTTACAAGTGCATTTAAATTAGGTGCCGTCAAGTGAACAAAAAAAAGAATTGTTTAAAAAATGAAATAATAATAATAATAATAAAAATAATAATAATAATAATAATAATAAAGGAAAAATGCGCAAACACAACTTGGAAATGCAACGAAATCAGGTAAAACGTAACAAAAAAAAAAACTAACAAGTATAGTATACCAACATCAGAAAAAATAATAATTATCAATACTACCATCTATAACATTTTAAGATCATACTTAATCTATTTTGTACTGTGCATTAAAAAAACGTGGGGGAGGGGAAGCATTATGTTATAATATCCTCGTAGACTTAACAGTTAATTCATACTTAAAATTATATTTTATTTTATCGTCTACGTTTACGGGTAACGTTAAAAATATTATACAACTAAGTTTTCAATTAAATATTTAAATATATATATATTAAAAAAAAAAAACTGTACAATAGGAACATATCTCGTTTAAACGCGCTGTTTACTTGTGTATTTCACAATATTTTAAATAATAAAGTATTTTCAAATGTATTCAGTAGGTCTATACGTTTGAAAAAAAACCAAATATCCTAAGTGTTACACGATTATTAATAATAATATATTTATATATTTTATATAGTAAATTAAATGTTGATTATTCGTATTTACAAGAATATTTGCTAACAACACTACACACAGCAGTGCCGCGGGAGCAGTGGGAGGGGAGAGGGGAGTAGAGGACGCCGAGGTGGTGGAAAACTCAAATCCAAAAAAGAAAATTGTAGAACACACTACGACGAAATATTAAATGTTATTTCAGACGCAATTTCCATTTCTTTTTTAAACCATTCGTTCTCGCGCAGTACCACCGCGACGACGCACTCACGAGTTGTAATTATATAAAAGACGCACTCCCGCGACATTTATATCATTATGTTCGGCCGTTCGCCGATTGTAAAAAAATAAAACAATATAATATGTATGCTCTTTTTCCATGATTCAAAAAAACCTACTTCCGTGAATTTCGGAAAAAAAAAATTAATAGAAAAACCTCAATAACAACAAACACCACTCGCGCGCGCACTCGTCTCGGGCGAATCGTCATCGTCATAATATAAATATATCCTAACTATATGTACATAAATAATTAACTCGTATGATGCGCGTGTACACATCTATATATATTATATAATTATATGTTATTATACATAAGCATAATATTGTAAGACCGACAACACACACACACACACACACACACACGCGCGTCTAACTACCTAACTACCTCTACATACATATACAATACGTATCGATAATAAAAGTAATTATTATTGTAATAATAATTAATGATAATAATAATAATAATAAATTAATATATGTTTAAAAATATATTTGAGCAACCGTTCTTCGAAATTATAAAAATAATTAATAATTAAATAAAAGGACGCGCAGGACGAACGAGTGCGTGGCGCGAGTGAGTGAGCGAATGTGTGTATGTGTATGCATTTGTTTGTATGTTTGTGTTTGTGTCGTGTGGTGAGAAGATAATGTTATGAGAATAATAATGTTAATATTACAAATATAAGATGCGTTCTCACCGCGACGACTATTGCTGATGCTGTTGCTGTTGGTTGTGTGATAGGTGGTTGGATGATGATGATGATGTTTGTTTCGGCTTGCCGTACCGCCTGTGGTAGTGCTCGCGCCGGAGCTCGAACAGCCGGTCGCGGAGCATGCGCTGCTTCTGCTGCATGACGTGCTTCTCGGACAGCAGCCGCCGCTCGTCGAGCATCATGAGGTCGCATTCCCGCTTGGCGCCGCGCAGTATGCTCAGCTTGGACGGTATCTTGCGGTTGTCGTCCAGGAACGACACCTGCATGCTGAGGTTCATGAACAGCATGCTGGTCTCGACGCGCCGAGACTTCTCCAGGTCGTTGTGCAGCGCCCTCTTGACAGGGTCCATGAGCTTGGTCTTGTAGCTGTAAGCGCCGCCGCCGACGTTCTCGTACTTGATTTTCTTGCCGGCGCCGGACTGGTGATGGTGGTGTAGCTTGGTCGATGACGACTTGGACGACCCGGAAACGGTCGTCTTCTTTTTCTTCTTCTTCTTCTTCTTGCGGCCGCCGCCCGTGGTCGTGGACGACGAGCTGCATGACGACGATCCACCGGAAGACTTGCGGCCGCCACTCGACGTAGAAGCGCCCCGCAACACTTTGTCCCAGTCCATGTCGTGGTCGTCGTCGTAATCGTCGTAATCGTCGTCGAACATGTCGTCCGGTTCGTTTTTCATCAGCGACTCAAAGTCCGCGTCCATGTCGTAATCGTCGTCCTCGTCGTCATCGACTTCGCGGTCTTCGTCTTCGTCCAATGGTTCAGGCTTGATGGGTATCGCGGGAGGAACTGGTAGTTGCCTCTGTTTTCGTCGCTGACGCTGTCGGTTGTCGTATTCTTCGTCGTCACTGCGGTCATCGCCGGCCGACGAACCGTAGTCGTCCAAAGGCTCTTCTTTGATGACGGGCTCTTCCTTGATGACGGTGCCCTTCCAGTTGGTGTTGTCCTTCTTATAGCGGTCTAACAGCGACAATCCACCGCACAACTTCTTGGGAGGCGGCGGGGGCATCGGGTAAGCCGCGGCCACGGCTGCCGCGGTGGCCGACTGACCGGCAGTCTTGTGCTTCCGCTTGACCGTGCTCTTCCACTTGGTCACGGGCGGTTCGCGCTTCTTGACGATGCCGCGTTTCATTATATCCGCCATGGTGGCGCCCTTGCGAGGTGTGTCTGGGGTGTCCCAGCTGTCGTTGACCACGTCGATCTCTTCTTCTTCTGCGAGAAAAACCGGAATAAAAACGAACATTAATAATTTGTACAAAGCGCAAAAAAAATATATTATTAACAAATATTTAATACATAATAATAATAATAATAATAATAATAACAACAATACGTCACGACGAGTCGCGCGGAGGTAAACAGTTTAAATTTTAAATATTCGCGGGGCCGGAGTGAGAGGGCGCGGGAAAGCGCGCATCGTCTGCCGCGGCACCGTTCAAGGGCGGGTCGACGACACCGTCGGCGAGAGCGCGCCGATCGATCGGGCGGCGGCCGTGACGTCAGGGTCGCGGGTGTGCGTGTGTGAGAAGATTGCCGCCGCCGACGATTCCCGCCAACGTGGTGCGGCCGCCCTCAATGGCGTGTGTGGGACGACGACGTCGGTGCGTTTACTCCGCGGCGGCGGCGGCGTTTTTCGCGCGCGCGGAAAATCTCTCTTGCCGGGAAAAACGACGACGACGACGACGACGACGCCGGTGCCGCCGCGATGCGCGCGCAAGCGACACGCCGCGACTAACCACGCCGCGAGGGGCCCCGGTTAGGGTTCAAGGGCAAGTCCACGACCGCCGAAGCCGCCGCCGCCCGTATATCGATCGCCCGTAAAACCGAAATACTTTCCGCCCTCCTATCCTGGACAACCCCTGCCTCCGACCCATCGACACCCTTTCCTCACCCCAAAACACAGGCCGATGCCGTTTTGTAGTAATAGTATTTTTAGACACGTTATCGATACGCGCGCGCGGACACGCCACCGCCGCCGTCCATGTCCATCAGTGATGACACAACATCGTATTCGTCTGTTATAATATATTGTTGTATTCTTTTTTTTTTTTTTCTCCGACGGGGGTGGAGGGATATTAAAAATAATAATATTATTATTGTTTAATATTATTGGTTAATCGTCGGACCAGGAAAAACGCTACGATTCAGTCGCTATTAATAAACGTATAATTTAACGTTGCCGCCACCGACGTCGTCGGAACATTATCATTTATCACTTTCCCCCGCGCCCGATAGGTAGTAGGGGGGAGAGGCCGCCGCCGCTAACCAGAACACTCTTACTTTTTCGTAAAATAACTGCTGCTGCTGCTCCCTCCGCTGCCGCAACGACTATTACGTATGATTTCAATATTATTACACGAATACACCGGAGTTTTGAAGAATGGCGCAAAACACCGGTTCTCACTAGTGACGGGTTAGGTACAAAGCATGTATTGTAGGTTATTATCTTATTCGGAACGCATAAAACGTTTTTACCGAAATAGTCTTTACCTTATATACGGAAAATCGTTGGAAATTGGTATACAAAATGTCTACTTTGAGTCTTTGACCCATTTAAAATACCTCGGCCGTACTTATGTAACGTGTGCAATCAGAAATAGGAATCGTTATTATTGCATTCGACATATACGAAATGTAATATTGAAAATTTAAGACGTTATTTAGTGACTATCAGTATTTATGTTCTAAATTTATGAACGCTCGGCGGGTATTAACACGCAGTCATTAATTTTAATTGAACAAATATTTAATTAAAAATAAGAAATATCAACGATAATGTGCTTATTAAAGATTTATAAAATCATAAACCTGCACTTCGAATACCTATTAGGTGGATATATTTAGCAATCAAAATTACGTGAAATAACATTGGTACTTATTTCGGGAGATGAATTATTTTGTCAAAAGTGAAACGCTATTATTATTCGCGCGCATACCAACACGGTGGCCCGGACGGCGGAGCGGGAGAGCAAATACGGAGAAATCTGTCGGTTATTTGAAAAAAAAATAATAATAATGAGCTGCGAGAGATGTGGTTGGAATTTTTTATCAGATAGAAGACACAGCGACTTTTTTAAGTCCAAAAATAGAATCGATTTGTGTTTATTATTGCCAGTTAGATGTTTATTATCGTTTGCACGCGCGCATTTTTTATAAATAATAATATGTGACCAGCCGATTCACAGAAAAGTACAAACACGATATGGAGTGAAAAAAATAAAAAACCACAACATCGTCGATTACACCACCCCCCGAACACCCCGCGTGGAACGGATCAGATATCAACAACAACAACAACGACGACGACGAAGACCACGACCAAAACGAAGACACGAAAAAGACGGAGTTTGAACTGTGCGCCACCACCGATGAACGGTGGAACGGCGGAGGGAAGCGATGGCGTAAATAAAAAAAAAACGTAGTAATGTCGCGGGTTATTTTGGGAGGGAAAATAACCGCCACCGACCGGACAATATTATTACGGTAACACAGTATTAATACATGTTGTACGATAAAAGTCCGACGACGACGACGACGAACATCTCTCTTTCTGCGGGCGGACGTCCGCAAACGGATTGGGGCAGGCCCGAGACGAAAATACACCTCTCTATCGGGCGTTCGTAGATAGCGAATGAATCTCGTAACGGCGGGCTATTTTGTTATTATTATTATTATTATTATTATTACACAATTTGATATTATTTAACAACTCTTCTTCGCGGAACACCCGGTGTGCGGGATTTACGACTGATAAAAACGAGCAGCAGACGACTACCACGACCACGACCACCTCCATCGAGTAGTGTAATCTCGTCGTCGTCGTCGTGGCCGCCCAAACGAGCAGTAGACGTGTCGAGGAGGGGAATAAAAACGAAATTAAACGAAACCGCCGAGTGGAGACGACGGGCCTTGAACTAGGCCACCGTTTCCCGCGCGTTTCCCCCAACGCGCGCGCGGTGCGTGTACGCGGTGGACGACGACGACGATGCGCGCGCAATCACGTCTCGGCCAGAGCCGGCACGCATGTTGCGCAACCTCCAAGTCCCGAGAAAATTAAAATCTTTCGTTACAAAACCCAATATTGCCATTATTATTATTATTATGTTTATTAATAATTACGATTCTGTGCACTTACCGGAAGACTGTGAACGGGACGGGGGTGGAGTGACGAGTCCAAGCATGTCCACTAAGTGGTTGGGGTGAAGTTTGGCAGGCGACACGGCCGCCGACGAACTGGTTGAACCGCAGCCGCCGCCGCTGTTGTGGTGGTTGGGCGTCTGTAGGTAACTGTGGTCCAGTTCTGTGATCTGTAGTATGTCAGCGTTGGGTTCCGCCTTGAGTATGATCGGTAGCAAGTGGTTGTCGCTGGTCCACAAGTAGTCGTCGTCCGGTTCTGACTTGATGGTCACGCCGCCGACGATCGCTGCCGCCGCGGCGGCTGCAGCTACCGCGGCCACAGCCGGGGAGTCGCCGACATCCAGGGGGATGTCCGCTGCGTTGTTGTTGTTCCTCTTGACGTGTTTAGTAGCCGGTTCGGCCACGTAACCTGTCACCTCGCCAGGTGGCACCATCTGGAACGCTTTCTGCACCTTTTCGCGGTTCTCATCTGTGAGCGCATACCGGTCAGCGTAGAATATCCAATCGCAAATGTCCAGGTAACTGTTGTCGGCTGTATCGAACTCGCACCCGTCGAACTGGCACCAACTGATGTCCATCGTCGTCTCGGCGGTCTGCTGCTGTGAGGGTGTGGATGAGGCCGACGACGGCGTCGACGAGGCGCTGGATGATGGCGGTGTCGCGGATGCAGACGCCAACGGACCGCCGCTTGTAGCTGTACAGCCACTCGGCGAGTAGAGGTCGGCGGCCGCAGCGGCAGCGGCGTTCCTGGCGAGACATGCGTCGCAAGAGTCACAACCCGCTGCGCCCATGTAACTGTTTTTCTTGCACAGGTCGGTGGGCGGCCGGCCGCAGCAGCCGCCCGCAGTCCCCGCGGTGCCGGCCACCAGGCTGCAAAGCAGGCCTCCAGCGGACGCGCCGTCACTGGCGGCTGCGACCACTACGTCACGTTCGAACTCGAAGAGGTCGCTCTTGCACACATCGCTCATCGGCGACGCGGGCAACACGTAGTCCAGGGCGATGTCCATGGCCAGGTTGGTCATCTGGTTCAGTATAGATTCCGTGCTCGGGTTCACCATTTTGGCGGCACCTGTGACGAGACAAGACAGAGGTCAGTAAGTCATTTTAGGGTGCACGCGAGTGGGAGGGGTCGAAGGAAGACGACGACGAACTTCAGAAAAAATATTTGATAGGTGCTACCGGAAAAAAGGTTTTAGATCATTGTTGAAGGGGGCGTCCTAGTTGTGGGGTACACGGGGGGATACGATACGAGTGCCGTGACCGGTGAGATACCAGCGTGACAGTTCCCCGGGCGCGCCGGCGGCCTGCCGGGCGGGAACGACGGTGTGGGGAAAAAAGGTTCGATAACAAGCGCGCGCAAAAGTGAAGGGCGAACGTCGCGCCGGCGCGTCGCCGACGCCGGCCGGCATACGCCCAACGCGCGCGCCACGTTGGTCGCGGAAACCGCCGCCGGCTGGCGGGAAACGCGACGGCCGCTCTAAACTTGGCGGGCTCGTCGATCGAGCTGTTCGCCGACCACCTACAATTAGTGTCGTCGGCAGGAGATTACCATTGAGAAAAATTGTACCACTTACCCGGCAATGTGATTTTAGTCCGCGTAATCCCACCGGTCGTTTTCGACTGTCACTCGGCGTGTCGCCAACGCGCACGCACTCACGATGAGATGTACCAAAAAAAAAATATATATTTAACCGTAGTTCCTTCCGGAAGAAAACCGGGAAAAATTCCCGCGCAGGGCCGTCTTCCACGGGAAAACGAAATAATATCAAACTCGACGACGACGGATTGTCTATTTAACTATCGTCTGGGGCGTCCGGTCGAAAATCGAAAAAAACTCGTAGCACGACAGTATATTATAATTGATTAATTATCGTACGGAACGCGCGCGAGACCGATGTGCAGATCGAAATCGGAAGACGAAAAAAAAATTTTATAAAAATGTCAACGAAATTACATTCAAACGATATTGCGGATATAACGGCCACGCGCACCACGTTCACTACCGGCGCCGGTGCGGATGAGACTGTAGTACTGTATGCGACGGCGGTCGTCGTCACTACTACTACTACTACTACCGCGGTATCGGTGGTGGTGGTGATGGTGATGGTGGTGGTGGTGGTGGTGGTAGTGGGCCTGCACACACGAGCGGTGCGTGTGTTGCGCGCGGGCAATGGAAGTGCGTACGAAACGGTCTCCGTATATGGACTGACGTGGGGCCGGGGCGAGGTGTCGGCGGTACAGTCACACGCACACACACGCTCGGAAACGGGCAGGCGCGCGCACTCGCACGGCCACGGCGTGCCCCCCAGCCGCCGCCGCCTGAAAACGCCGGCCGGCGTGCCACCCCGCCTCGTCACCACCCGCCAGATCCGTCTGTTGACAATGCCCGCCGCCGCTCTCTCCCACCATCGGCCACGAGGATAGGACCGATCGCGCCGCGTACCCTGTGCGTGCGCGCGAGCGCCGGCAACGTTTTGCGTCTCGCCGCCCGTCCGCCCCACGGCCAGTGGAGCACCGCCGCCGCCGCCGCCGCCGACTCCACCACCGCTCCCCCCATCACCACCGACGCGAGTGCGGCGATCCGTCTGCCGCCCGTGACGCCGCGACTCTCCCGGTGAGATTACGCACCGCGGCGGCGGCGGCGCTGCGTGCTCGTCGGCGGTCGCGCGCGCGGGAAACGCCGACGGATTTTCGGCGGGAACGCTTCTGCCGCCGCCGGTATCGTGTTGTCGATATTGCGGTATAATTAAAAATGAGCGGTGGACTCGGTGTACCACCCGTCCGACGATATTGTTGTTGTTGTTGTTGTTGTTGTTGTTGTTGTTGTTGTTGTTGTTGTTGGTGGTGAATGAATAGACTTTGAGTATACTTTTGGCCCACTGGATTTTAACAGTAATTGCTCGTCCAAATTGTTTTCGTCTTCGTCAACCCAATTCGTGTTAGCAATGACACCGAATATCGATTGAACGTTATTTGTGTTTTTTTTCGTTGCTTATTTATTTCGGAATAATTATTTGGTGATTTCAGCTCGAATAAAATTTTATAATTTTACAATTCTTATTATTCTACAACATCTAAGAATAATTTTACTTTAGAGTTGTAATTCTATGAAAAACAATTGGTTAGTAATTTTTAATTTTTCAGAAAGTTTTAAATAGTTCATATTTCAGTTAAAAACCAAAAACGTTAGTTTTAAGAATTGTTTATACTTACCCAAGTATAATTAATTACGTAACTGTAGCACTCCGAAGTTGTAGGCTTAATATATGCAAATGACAAACGTACCAAAGTTTATTAAATGTTTGGAGTTAGATATGGAATATATTATTATAAACATTGTAGGCAGCTTTTATAATTGTCGGGGAAGAAGACTTAGTTCCAAGCGAATCGACGAGGCCTAATAGTTGTTCTAGTGTTGGATAATTATTATTTATTTCACTATAAAATTATGATTAGAACACAACTGGCAGTAGTCACATACAAGTGGGTGGATCGTCAGCAAATCGGTCTTCTGCAAACTCGCGAATATATTATTATCATGAACACGACGATAAAACTCGTAAGAGGTTTTTAATTGCCAGAAAAAAATCGAATAAAATAGAATCTGGCCGTGGCGCGCAATCGTAAGCCGGCCGAGTCACCACATGCGTCCATGCAAATAAATTGCGGCGCTGCTCGTCGGGCGCAAACTACACATTGGTACAATGATGATATTATTACTGTAATAAAAATAAATATTATGACGACGACGTTTTCAGAAAACGTTGTCGTGCGGTCTCTTCTCTGAGTTCTGAGTATCATTGGAGATGTATACAAAACCATATTAAATGTTATTATAAAAATGCTTCTACCCTTCAAATTCAAAGGAATTCACAAATATTACGATCTAAGATTTTTTTATTTCAAATGGGTTTTGAACCAAAAAATATTTGTATTTAATTAAAAAAATGTTTTGATGAACTGCACGTTTTCGAGTCTTTCCTATGTGTACTTGAAATTGACTAATAATTCTCATTTAATTTTCAGTCGCCACTCGTAATCTCAATTTTACGAATAAAATGTTACTATGTAAAATGAAAAAATTTTAAAATACATATGAAAACACAGTAAATTAAATAAAAAATTCAAAATAAAAACTGTTTCTGTTTGAAAAATACATGAAACTATATTTATATAAAAATGGCACCCTAGCTTTTTAAAATAATACAAAATTCTCGAAATCCCAGTCGTTAGGTATCGACAAGAGTCATACAAGAGTCGTTGACGTATTCTTTTACGGTACTTCATTCAGTATTGTACTTAGCTGAATCGTTGGACTTAGATTATTAATTCGTCATAATCGTAATTCAACGAAATCGAACAACGGCAGGAAACCATCGTATAATATTATTTGTTCATTCCTGGAACGACTGCGGAGTCAGACAACGGGTCCTCTATGGCCGGAAGTTAGTGCTAGCCCGAAATAGACTTGGAAATTAAACGTTATCAAATCCCGGATAACACTAGACGCCGTCGAAAATATAACAACAATGTTATTATTTCATGCGGGTAGTGAGTTGATCGAAAACCGATCATAATATTTATTACTATTATTACTGCGTCACACAATAAACTATTATACTTATCGGTACCCGAAAATTCTTATTTTCTCGAATAGTCGAATGGTGTTCAAGTCTGAATCTATCTGCCGATCACCGATTTACTACTCAGTAAGTTCACGAAATTAAAATAATAGAACATAATTTAATTCGAGGACGTTATGCGCTATATTATGACGTGTTTGTATAAAAAGGAAATACAAGTAAAAATATTATGTAAAAAAAGGACGAATTCACGTACAAGAAAATATAATAATGTCTTATATAAACTCGTATTATAATCGTACTGTTTTTATATGGTTTTTCGGTACATTTGTCACATTCATGACCGTGAACTTAAAAAAGCGTCTTATCTTATACCCGTTTTCGTGTAGTATAATTTTCGAACTGTCGTGCCAATATTTTGTTGTTCAGTACATTGAAAACCTCTCCGTATAAATTGACAACGATAATTTTATTATCGTGATAATTGAAATTGGATGCGAACACGATAACAATCTCGATAGAATAATATTGAAGGGAAGTCTCTAACGTTTATCAGAGGCGGGCTAAAAGATTTATTTTTAAAATACGAAAATGTCCACTCACTTATAGTACCTATCGAAAGAATTATTTATTTTGTAATTTACAATAATTGCTTATTGGCATTTAGGGCCACGAGCAAATTACACATACACACTACATTCTTACAGGCTACAAGGCACTTCGTACCTTTACAAAATAAAAAATTGAATTAACAAATTTATAATTTGATGATTGCATAATATTATTCAAATTAACTGTCGTGTTGTACACAAATAATTATTTTCAGACAAAAAAATGTAATTAAATTTTAATATTTATGCACAAAATGTTTCCTGTATTATATTTCTATTCACCTTTAATTTGGTTTACTTGCGATTACTTTCTGAATAATATTGAAGTACCAAACAGTTGACATAAAACAATATTATAAATTGATGCAATGTTTAAAAACATTTTATTGTCAATGATGTCGTTTTAACTTTTCTAAAACAAGTTTAGAACTTCCGTCCGTTTTTTTATTTTTTCACATAATAATATTATTATCATCGGCGAACGTTCCGAGCGTTTTTCACATGCACCGACGACGTCGAAAATAAATCCCAAACTTTTCGCGCTAAATTCACTCTCATGGCGTTTCGCCCCCTCCTCTCGGACGACGTACACATATATTATTGCAAGCTTAAGCGGCACTCGAGCCGGCAGATCTATGATATTATCGGCGACATATATATAACAATAATAATATTAACGTCACGCCGGCGTTCACAAATCAAAACACGGAGAGCAAAAAGAAAACCCATAAAATCCCATCGTCGTGTTTACATATATATATTATATATGCACACGATATATCTCATAAAACGTCCAGTGTTGTATCAGGGTATATAATATGTACAACTGTCTACGCCATTTCTGCAGATTTTCGCGTATGCACACGAAAAATGTACACAATATTATTAAGAATTATGAAATACTAATGCGACTTTGATATTATTTTACGGTCGTCGGGTCCTATCCGACACTGCGAAGTGTTTTACTGCGTACTTCACACCGTCTGTACCTTTTTTTCTAAATTACCAATATTTTTTATTTAAAATATACTTCCAGTATTTTCTTCAACTAACTTGTCAGTTCACATTGTAGCTATACTGAATTTACACGGATCGTAATTATTTTTTAAAAGTACAGTCAATATTTTTTGTATAAAAAATTAATAATAATATTGTCAAACAAGAATTTGAAAAAATATAATTATTGATTATATTTTATAATTTGATTGACTGAAATTGAGAATAAAATTGTTTTTGCGTTACTTAAACATTATAAACGAAATTATCGATGGTTGCCAGTTGTCACAACTGGTACCTAAATGTTACAACTTAAGAGTGAGACAATATAAAGCATTGAATCTCTTTTGAATTTAGAATTTTATATATGTCTTGATGAATTCGTTCATGCTAACGCGCGTTTTTTAGAATTATATTCAAGTTTATTTCCATTGAGAGTACAATTATTTTAAAATGTTCAATCGAAATGATTCAGAATTTTCTTTTCCTGAGATATTTTTTTTCAAAAGATTGGTGTTAACGTGTTTAACCTCGATATTATCTCTAACCGGAAATGCAACACGACCACTGATAATAAATATCACATTGATAGGACCACCCCCAAGCCTGACTTTGAATCTCTATAATCCAACAATATTCCACCACCCTTGGTGTTTTATATAGTGTCGTGATGGGTGGTGCGGTACTGCAATGGTGTCCTACCGAGTACCGAGTTACCAACCCCGCTCGCCTACAATCAGACCACCGGTAAACTTCGACCGATAATAATAATAATACAATATTATAGTCATGTATTGTTATTGTACCGTCAGTTGTCACTCACTAGGACGATGGCGTCTGTCTACGACATCGAATCGGTCTTTCTCATCAGACCCATTTTGGCGCCGACGATCCTATATATTTTATATTATGATTTTTGCGCAGACAACGGTGACAAGTCGGGTGAAATATAAACGCACGAAAATAATATCATAAAATAATATATTCATGATAATTACTGTTAC